TCATAAGCTGCATTACCGTAATCCATAAATAGCTTGTGGCATATTAGAGCTGTGCACATGAAAAGAGAATGAGACAACGAGAGCAAAAGAATGCCGACGCGTGCTGCATCTCTGGAGAAAAAGCTTTTTGACTGAAAAGAGAGCTGGCTCTGGCTAATCGTCTCATTTCACATTACCCTTCCATTGCTCTTGAGACTTCACAATGATTTCTTATAATTGTTATTATTTGAAGTTCTGCTTGTATATATTGAATCTGAAAAAGCTAATAGTAAAGAGAGAGAGAGAGATAGAGAGGGAGTAACAGTATGAAAGACAGATCGAGAGATGATGAAAGGAAGAAGTAGGAGTATGGCAAGGAAACAGAAATGAACAACCGCTCACTACTTTCTGCAGTCTTACAAATGAAATGTTCTTTTGATTATCGTTTACGTGAACCTCTACATTGACGTTCACGTAAACAATGAATGTGAACTCATCATCGAGTCCTATTAAAAATAAAATGAATCAGATAATCTTATCTTTGTGAATTTCAATTTTGAAAAAATTCAAAAATAGCCTGAGGGGCATAGAATTGCATCGAATTTGATTGAATGAAGAAAGACGAAGGAGAACGACATCGACGACGTAGAGGAAAAAGGGTTGGAAGGGGGGGGGGAAGTCTTTCGATTGCATATGATAGACCGATGTACATACACAAAGTCTTTTGTGTCTCTTCATCTTTCTCTCTCAATCTTTTATTTTTCTCTCTCTCTCGAGGGTATTACCGTAGACAAAAAGCTTATATTATAGCTTTAATTGTTAGAAAATTGCCCTGAGGCAATTTTGACAATGAAGACTTAAAGCTCAGTTGTTGTAGCTCTTTCTCATTACATTTTCTTGTTCTTCAAGAAGGAGGAGGAGGAGGAGATGGAGAAGAAAAAAAATGTTTGTCAACACGTGCAAGACGACAAAGAACGTTCTCTCTGTATCCACTCGTTTTCTCCCTCCATCACTCACTCTCTCTCTCTCTCTCCCTTCAAGTAAAAAGGAAGAGGAAACATAGCTTCAATGCACAATGAATCCTGCAAAGAGGTAGTGCGAGAGATGGAAAGAGACATGAATGAAAACCTTCAGAAGTTAATTGTTGTGTCCTTCTGAATCTTAAAGACGATTACATACATCTTGAATCTAATCCGTTGATTATTCTGTTCTCATCTCGTACTGTCCTTACTTCCAACTTCTTCATATTTCTATTTCAGAGTTTCAACAACAACAGAAAAAGTGAATTCGGATAGTAGAGAGAGAAGAACACAGAGAGAGAGAGAGTTAAAGAACAAATGAAATTGGTCCTTCAGCGACAATGTTAGATGACGTCGTTGACATCTTTCATCATAAAGCTTGACCAACGCTGTCTATGGGAAAAAGAAGCTTTGAAAGTAAAGAAACGTCTAAGTAAGTAAAGAAAAGCTTATAAAAGAGCTTTAAGTCAATATTGTGATTATGCTTTTCTGCGTATCTCTGTTGCTCTCCTCATTATTATATGTCAACATGTTATCTCTAGTATTCACAGTTCAGACGTGTGATTGTCGTCGTCAAGCCGTCTGATTGTCTTCTCATTTTCTCTCAACATTTTCTTCTTTCTTTTCTTCAATTCAAAATTGACGAGAGAAGTAAGTAAAGACAAGATCAAACAGAAATTCATAGAGAGAAGAAGAAGCCGCGGGCGGAATTCCACGGCTTTTCCTCCATACCTATCTCTATCACTCAAACTTAACTCTTTGTCTCTTTACATCATTCTCTACCACTCTCACCCTCACTCTCTCCCTCTCTCTCTCTCTCTTACTCAACTCTTCCACCTTTCTTCATACTTCAGACGGCTTCTTTTCCCGGATCATTCACTATCTCATCTAACAGTTTCATGACGTCATCTGATCATATTGGGTGGTCCGCTGTTCGCATTTTTTTTTTCATTTTTTTGAGCGCAAAAAAAGAAAGTTTTAAATCCCCCCAGGCAATTGTTTACATAAAAGATGTTTTGTAATATAATCCATTTAACTTATAAGATTACTGTAAAAATTATTTGATCATCGACATTTTCCCTTTTTTTTTCGTCTTCTCTGCTCCACCACCACCACCACTTCTTTTGATTTGCTTTTTTCTCAACTCATCGTTCGTCTATCTTGATGGTGTTGAAGCTTATGCCTTTTGCAGTCTTTGCTGACCTTAAATGTAATTTTTTTCATCTTTTTTATTTTATTTCATCGCACATAATCTTTTGTCTCTTTTTAGGGTTGTGTAGTACCTTATAAGGTCATCATCAGCCTGAAACTCATCGAGGTCGACACGACTTCACACAGATCGTTGTGAGGAAATGGAAAACGAGAAATTGAATAAGAAACATTTAGTACTTATGATATTATAAGAGATAGAGAAAGAGAGAGAGAGACAAACGATGAGAGAGGAGGGGGTGGTTCCTCATGTCGTAGCTGATGGCTAAGGCAATGGGTGGAGGTGGGTAACATTCAAAATGAAAGAGTGAGATGGAGGAAGAGAGACAGTAGGTGGAAGAGATTCGAAAAGAAACAACGATTTTTTCGATTTGTCGCTGTCGGTCGCCTATGATGATGTTAGTTAGCAGTTTATGAGAGAGAGAGAGACTGAAAGATAGAGGTTATAACAAAGAGAGTAATAAAGAAGCAGAGAATCGGTAAGCGAATGAGATGGACTCAGGGGGAGAAAGGGGGTTGGCTAACATCATTTGGTACAGTTTCGAAAAAGCTTAGACATAATAAGTTATGAAGAGGACTGTTAGAGAAAGTAGAGAAAAAATAAAGACGGTTAACTGTCCCGCCCCAACCTTCCACCTGACCACTACCCGCCGTCACCGCCAGGCTTAGCATGATGAAGAAGATGAGACAATCATCTTTCAAGTTGCTCTTCCGGAACGGAACTCATGAAGTGAAGTCAAAATTTTTTTCTCCTAATCTTTAGAAAGAAGCTTGACCTGTGTTTTTCGAAATTGCGAATTTCATAAGAAGTTGAAGAACAGATGAGAAGCTCATGGAACAGAAGAGAAAAAGCGAGAAGGCACACACAAACTGACGGCATTCGCTGACCATCGTCAAGCTACATGGCTGTTCGCTGTCTGTTCGTCTACATTGCCTTCCATCTTCTATTTTTTATTCATTTTGATGTCATCAGAAGGTGTTGTAACGTCATTCAAATGAATTCTCTATTAACTATAGAAACGACACCTTGTAATGGGGCTTAAAAATCATTTGAAAGAGCCTGTGAGGAGGTGAGAGTGAAGCTTCCTTCAATCCCTATATATTCAGCTATTCTTATTCCCTTCTAATACCCAAAGACTACTTTCTCTCTCACTCTCTGAACTGCCTAGAGAGAGAGAGAGAGAGAGAGAGACGAACTTTGCGTTTCGACAACTTTTTTTTTGTTTCATCATTTCTGTGTTCTTCAGTCTTCTTTGACAATTTTTATGTTCGTTTTATCTCATCCGAATCTTATGGATTTTGTTACCATTTGTGACGTCTTCGTCTTCTTCCTCTTCTTCTTCGTCTTTGAATTTTTGTCCCTTCAATGCACTCTCCATCATTCTTTTTTTTATTTGCCATTTGCACATAGTATACACAAGACATTCCTTCTTGATTCAATACCTACTCATAACTTCTTCCTAACCCCCCCCCCCCCTTCATCACCCAAACACCCCAGCATCACCTCTCTCTCTATCTCTCTCTCTCTCTTCTTTGTTGACCTCTAACCCCTTGTTGATTTGATTTTTTCAATTTTTTCCTGATTCAGTATTGAAATCATGAAAAGCTTCACTCACTTACTGCTTCTCAAGTTGTTTGTCCATAAAAGGAACATTAAGAAGAGAAGCTTACATTCTTCAACCACCTCCCCCCTATCAGTGCACGTAATCTCCGCTTAATCACTTTCTATCCACCTTCCGTGTTCTCTCACTCTCTTATAACCACTTGTTATAACTTCTTGTACAGTTCACCGCCTCTGGCTCACTATTTCCTTTTGTGATTCAGAATTTTCAGCTAAAATTTCTTAATTGAACATAAAGCTGCTTCCTTTTCGTTTTTTGTGTTTCGCGTTCATTGAGCTTCCCAACTTCATACCGTCGTCATCATTGTCGTTCTAATTCTTCCCGATTCGCTTCTTTAATCTCTCATAACCGCTTATGCTCTCTATTGTCGGTCTTTTTCAATCGTCGGCGAGCAAAGGAGGTACGAGAAGGAGCAAAAGCTCAGGAGAGTTAAAGGAATGGTATTGGTGAATGCGAAGGCGACTGAGAAAAAGAAGAAGAAGAAGAAGGAGAAGCTCATTCATGTTTATTTAGCTTTTCTATTCTTTTTCTCAATAATTGTCTTCAATCTCAATACTCTCTCACCTATTCCATACCTATTTTTATATCTCTCACACTCTCCTCATTTCATTTACTATTTTTATTTTCTCAAAAAATTTCCATCAAACTTTTCTATTCACTCAACTTATGCTTCTATCCAATGTAACATCGTCATTTTTCAAGATTACTTTTATTTCATCAATTTCTTAACTCAAAAAAAATTGAAAAACCCTCTCTCATCTGTTCTTTTCTGATTTGTTAACATCAACATCATCTGAATCTCATCAAAGACAACGTCCACGACGACCACGACTACGTCGACACGCACATACACACACATAACATCATCTGAAATTACAACCATCTTTACGACTACTTCATCCATTACAAAAATGAATTTGTGACTCATCATCATTTACGTCTCTCTATACATCTCTCACGTCGTCTCATTTCCGAAATTTATCATTTCCATTTCTGACCTCACAGCTTCATACCATTCAAATGGATTGTTGTTGAGAGTGAGAGAGACAGAGATGGAGAGAGAGCCAGCTATCCATATTCCCATTGATATGTCGTGATCTTACTTTCTTTACATAGCTAACTTATATGATTTGATAATTTTATTTGAATTTGTTCAGATTCTTGATGTCTAATGGCCTCACCGGCGACGTGTGGTTTGGCGTCACGCCGTAAGCAGACGAAGCCACAAAGACTGAACGAGGACGGACCGCCAGGTACGTGAACTTAAAATTAAATATAATTGAATAAAGCGAGTACAGAATAGGATAGAATGATAGAGAGAGAATGCGGGAATTTCGTTGCTCTCTCTCTATCATTGATCATGTAGAGAGGACAGTTTGAGGCTTTCTATTTCCTTATTTGTTAACTATACATTATAGTTAGTGAGGAAGATATTATTTATATGAACCGTCGCAATCAACTATTTATATTATATTTTAAACATATATTCATAAACTATTTGAATATAGTTTAGATATTGATTGATTATGTATATCCTATCGTTAACTATATGCTTTTGCTAGTTCAACGATAAGATGACAAAAAAAAATTTTTTTTTCTTTTTCTCGAATATTTTTTTCTCCCAAAAACAGTTCTTGAAGACGAAGCCACGAAGGTGACGATGACGACGGTAAGACGCTCTCAAAAAGCTTTTTTTTTTCTTTTTTTTTTGTTCAAAAAAATGATTTTCACATTCATTACTTCCGAATCTCCTTATTGATTTCATCATTTCCTTCTGATTTATTGTTTTATTCTTTTGATTGTTTTATAGTCTTTTTCTATCTTTTTTTTGTCTTTTTTGCTTTTCTCATCATCACTATCAACGACGTCTTCTACATAGCTACTGATGATGATGATGTTGAAGATGTTGAAGATGATGTTGATCATCAGCTTCTCGTCTTCTCTCTTCTTCATATCAACCCTTTTTCATTTTATTTTTTTTTGTAATTTAATTTCATTTGAACAATCTTCTTGCACATTCTCTTGTTCATCATTGACTCCTTCTTCTTCTTCTTCTTTCTAATCTGCATGTCCTTTTTGAGACAAAAAAATGAGAGGGAGGAAGAGTTCATAGAGTATAGGGCTTAAGGAGTATTTAGAGAAAAATTGTTTTTTTTATTCATTCTCATCAAGCTTTCAAAGAAAGTAGTTTTCAATTATCAGAAGAAGTGTTCAGTGCTTCCTCTTGCTCTTCTCCTTCTATCATAGATATATGACAAAACAGTTGAGATAGTATAATATATAAAGAGAGAGATAGAGAGAGAGAGATGAAGAGTATGTGATACGCTCATACTCTTCTTGGCAACATCTTCTATGATATGATTTTGCAATCAGATTGCATATAATCGAAGAAACAAAAGATGAAGAAGAAGAAGAAGAAGAAGTTTATAAAGAGGTAAAGAGGTAGAAGGGACATCAACGATCTGAAGCAACTGAAGAACGACCTTCAATTTTTCAATATATTATGTTAGCAAGTCTCTTGTCTTTCGTGTTCTCATATCGGCACTTTTCATCATTTTACTTCAACCTTTTCTTCTTCATTTCATTACCTCTTTTGACTCTTTTTTTAATTCCATCTTTGGAAACAATTTTCTTTACAAATCATTCATTATATTATTACATTTCAATTTATATTATATATACATCATATTCTATCTTATAGTATCTAGTATACCGTAATCCCATTTCTCATATACACACTCTTTCATTCTCTATACGCTTATTACCGTATACCAACTATAACTCATGCACTACGATAGAGTATTGGTTATGAAGAGTGCACAGAGTGTCAGAGTATGGTCTGCTCCGCCTTGGTCAAAAGCAAAACATGCAGTTCTAAAGATAATTTAAGAAGGAGAGAGAGAGACAGAGAGGGAATATTAAAGAGTATGAATATGAGTGAGAGAGAGAGAGAAGGTATAAACTTCAGAAAGATCTCTTTTTGAACTTTCAATCCTCCCTTTTAAGTAATAAATCGATAATTGTCAAAAGATTTCTATCTTCTTCAACCTGTCAACTTTATTGAAAAGTTTCATGAAAATATCTTTTGTCTATCTACACCTCATCATCGAAGTTTCTTTTGAGACGACTATGATGGAGACACAAAAAATCTTTTTTTTTCCTTCTAATTCTTTGCTATTAGATGAGATGTGTATGAGTCAACGGATGAAGAAGTGTCATTTCCTTTTTTGTTCATTAAAACATTTAAGCTGTGGGTCAACACTTCGCCAACCACATGTTTCATTGCAAGTTTGAACAACAAAAAAGGGAATGACTTCTCTTCTTTTTTTCTTTTCTTTTCTTCTCTCATCCTCTCTCTCTCCCTGTTCCTCAGTCTAAGACTCTCCTTCCTCTTCTTTCAATGAAACATCTGATTATCTCTTTTTGAGATTTATATGAGTTTCTATGAAAGCCTTCTCATTCTCTTATTCCATTCTATTCTCTCTCTCTCTCTCTCTACTTTAGAAAACAGAGGGAAAAAACTGAGAGAGAGGGTAGAGAGAGAAGGAGAGAAAGAAGTACGTAGTTTATCGTCCAAGGTCATTCTTCTATTTGGCCTATCATTAAACTATTTTCGTTTGATGTCAAATTTGACCATAAAAAGGCAAAAGGCGATTATAAAAATCTTAAAATTTCAAAAATTTGCATCTTAATGAGACGACACGCCGTGAAAGGAAGTTGTCATGATCACGCACGTGTAGTGAGTTCAACTTAAGGTCTCGTTTTTTTTTTTTTTTTGAAAATCAAACGATAAATTGAGAAGACGAGAGGGGAGAGAAGAGAGAGGTGGGGGAAAGAAGAAGAAGAAGAAGGAGAAGCCGACATTGACAGAAAGATGATGTTGTTTTGTGTTTCTGTCATGTCAGTTTCAGTTCTTCGCTCATCATCATCGTCTGTCCATATATGGCAACGAAAAAAAATTGATAAAATTCTTTCTTTGTGCTTCTTAATATCTCTCTTCAAGTTCATAATGTAGATAACCATTCTATCACATACGATATACATCTTTCTCTCTCTCTTTCTACTTGTATCTCTCTCACTCTCTCATTCACTCTCTTCCATACTTTCTGCTTCTCTCTCTCTCTTACTGATTCTCTCTTTCTGACAAAATATTTCAATTTCCGTTTTCTCTTGACGAATCTTAAGTTGAACAATTCATTTTTCTATATAAGATTGACAACGACCAAGTCATTAATCGAGGGAACGTCGTCGTCTGGTTTGAAATTCCTTAAAATTTCATAAAATTCTCATTTTCGGCTTTCTTGCAAAAAGCAAAAAGCCATTATATTCATTAAAAAAGCTATTTGAGAATTAAATAGAATTTTTGCCTTAAAAGGCAAGTTGCAATGGACTTTCGTTTTGTATGACGGGCGGGAGGGGTGGTAGAGGTGAAGATACATCGTGGGAGAGTGTAGAGCACTAGGGAAGATGAGAATGAAAGAGCATTTTGGAAGAGGTTAACGTAGGGTACATATCACGTACAACTGTAGGAGGGTGGAAGAGAAGAGAAAGTTGAACCAGCTGATAGCTTTTGATTGATTTCTTTCATTTCTAAATAAGGCACACGAGCGACATTTCGCTTGTTCTTCCTTGCCTTTTCCATCATTTTTGCTTGTCAATTTCATTATCAATTGATATAGAAGATAAATGATTTTAACAAGATGATGATGACAAGCGACTGAACGAAGATGAGACATCATCACTGACAACGATGATGATGTGAATAGACGAGTGCCTAGTCAGTTCAGACATGATGTTCCGTGAAACGTTTCTCAAATTCATTTTTTTTTGTTGTATTTTCACGCTGATTGACCTCATGACAACCGTCGAGAAGAACTTCTGAACAGAAAATATGAAAAATCGATTGTGATTTTGATTATTGCTGATAAAAGAACAAAAAAAAAGAAAAACTATATTAATCAGACGTTAGAAGACGAGATGCGGGACTGTATATGATGGCGTATGCAGACGATCAGACGCTGATGATGAGAGAGTATGTGAATGGATGAGAGAATCAAATTAAATTTTAATTCAATTAACATCCTTTTTATTGAAAAAAAATAATTTGTTTTATCTTTAAATGACATCAAATTTATGATTTTTCATGATTTTTCATTTCTCTTACCGTAATCCAATAAGCGGATGGGAAGATGGGGGGGGGGTTGAGAGGTTACGGTAATAACCGTATCGAAGGACATGTATACATAGTATGTGAAGGCAGATGATGTGCATATTCATGACTTACATATACAGACAAACACACATAAAGCTATAGTTATGGATTTTGATTATTGGGGATTCAAAGAAACATCTGCTGAATGTCTGAATAACAACCCTTCGAGGATTGTTTCATATGCTTTACTACTATAGAGAGAGAGTGAGATAGAAAGGTAATATAAGAGAGATGGAATGAAAATCATTGTAGTAGACACTCCCTTTACGTCTTCTCTCTTCAATTCCATAATTGGCATCGTTTATTGAAGCTCTTTTTTTGTGTTCATTAATTAGCTTAATGCAGTTATTGACTAATAGATGACCTCGATGATGACGATCAAATGATTTTTGTCTCAAGAATTGTTCTTTTGCGTTACATGTGAGGCACGTCCATCCATCCTTCTTATACCAACTTATACAAGGGGGGAATAACATATATATATATAGAGAGAGAGAGTAGTTGGTGTATGTAAGCAGAGAGTGAGTGAGAGAGTAGGACGAATAGCAGTTGCGGCCAACCGTTGCATCTCCGTCTGAACACAACGATCCAGCTTTTTTATGATCAAATTACGTATTGAAAACAGTCGTTTTGGTCATAAACGTTTGTTGAATACGATCGTCTATTCTGAATTGGAGAAATCAGAATCAGAAGAAGAACGACGAAACTGGCAACATGTTTGATGACTTTTCTCCCTTTTTTTTTGGATTTTAATTTCCATTTTTATGATTCTCATAAAGCGATTGAAATTCATTTTTGATAACTGATAATACACCATTTCCCTCGTAATTGAGAAGAGGTTGTAGAAGAGAGAGAGAGAGGGGGGGGGGAGGAGATGATGAAGAGAAAAGGATATTAAACTGGAAACTTTTCTAAAAAGGAATAGAGAGAGAGAGAAAGACATTGGGGGGCAAGTAAAGGAGGATTTTATTGGAAACATAGAGGATTGTCGATGTTGGTAGAGAACAGAGCAGAATTAATAGAGTAAGATAAATGGTCTTTAAGATGATGAAAGTTCAAAGAGAGGAGAATGCCGATGAAGAGAAGGGAGGTAGATGAGGAGAAGAGAGAGAGAGAGAGAAGATAAAAGAAGAATTCAGAAGAAGATAACTCTTTCAACCAATTACTCATACTGTTTATCGTCTTTAATGTTCAAACCATAACAGGTCTCATCTTCATCTTTGTAGTCGTCGTTGTCGTCGTCGTCTTCTTCTGCATCGTCGGAAACCATAAAATTCATCAAAAAGTTATAAAAAGGCAAAAATTGATTCGTCACCAATTGATGTTGCGGGAGGGGAAAAGACGGAAAATTGTCATTTTCTTTTCTATTTGTGTCAAAAATTGAATGTTTAGAAGAATCAGAAAGTTTGACGACGACGAATGAACTTAGATGAGAACGAGGAGAATTATTGAGGGGCGAACAAAAAAGTTTTTCAAAGCCACTAAGAGAGAGAGAGATATAGAGAGAGAGAGAGAGATTTGCATGTGTTTCCAGTTTTTTTTTCTTTCTTCATCTCCTAATCAAACAAGAATGACGATTGAAACAGCTAAAGCCAACTAAGGCAGATCCAACATGCATTCACGTGAATGTACACGTTCTCATTGTCTTCTTCCCCTGTCGGTCTCGGACCATAAAAGACGTATGATGAGAATAGAAGAAGAAGAAGCTGCAAAGTTGATTTGAACGCGAGGGGTCAACGATTTTTCTCACTTCCTTCATACATTCTCATTGGTTGTTCATCTTCTTCCTTTCCTTTCTTCTTCCTTCTTCAAAATGCTATGAAGCTCTCTGTTTATAACGAATATTCTCAGATTTCATCATTTCCAAGTATAGCCAATCAACGTTTTCCACTTTTTCTTCTTTGACTGATATGTCAACTTGTCACCATTTATCATCTGAATTTTTGTTAACGTCGTCGTTTGAACGTTAAAATATACAAGAGGAGAGTGGTAGGGGGGTGGTGAAGAAGAAGAAGAAGAAGAAGATAGGGTTAGGTTGGCTAAACATGATGAAGAAGACGAAGGAGAGAACGAAGATGATGATGATCATCATCATCATGATGAAGATGATGAACATGAGAAAGAGAAGGCACATGTAGTAGTGATACTTCTTAACGATAATAATATGTGACGTTTAAAAATGACGCACGACGTCATCATTTTTTCGAGACAGAACCACAATGTGGGGGCTGATGAAAAGCTCACAAATACGGAAGTCACGTCCACATGGTAAATTGAGATTTTACAAGGTTTGAAGGTTTTTTTTATTGTTAAGTATGTTTAACTAAGATGAATAATGTAATTGAAGAACATCGCGCAACTTCTGACAAAAGCTTTTATGAGTTTGAGTCAAAGACGTGGCTGGCACCTGCACAAACTCGAGGAGAATGAATGAGAACGACTGTGCTGAGCTTTAAAAAAACTTTTTCCTTCTCTCTCTCTCTCTCTCTACCTCTCTCTCTCTCTCTCTCAACTTCTTATTGAAAAAGTATTCCTTTACAACAAAACAATATTTGTGTTTTCGTTACATAGTTCTTCTGATGATGAGTCGGCCACTGCCACTTGTATGTTTGATCATTCATATCTGATATAGCTTATGCTATCCATTCATATATGCTTTATCATTATCTCTTGTGCATGTGAACGGAATTATCATGTCATTGGTGTTCACGTACGTCCACGTAACATCCACGTGCGTTTCTTCATTCAATAGACTTGCATACGTGAGGAACGGTTGTGTTTCATTTTCTTCTCATTCTCCTACCCTACCGTATACTTATGAGCTTTACGATTATTTTTTTTCTCCAAAAAAAAAAAAAGAATAAAGAGGGTTGTAAGCTAGCTCGACCATCAGTCACTTTCTTCGTCACGGCTTATCAACAATGACAAATGGTTGATGAACAAACGACTAATTGATACATGAAATGGCCGAAAAAAGGAAATGAAATGATAAAACGGGTCATCTGATTGATCAGAATGACAACGATGACCAAAATTAGCAGAAGCTTTTTTTTATTTGATTCTTGTGCGTATGTATATAGATTGAAAGATTTTAACGAGGGAGATGACGAAGACAAAAAGTTGAAAGCTAACTGTGTTGATGATGTAGTTGATGTTGTCAACATGAGCATCCTCTCACGGCACAGACAGCCAGACAGACAGGAAACGATTTTTCCTTTATTTTCTTATTATTTTATTTATTATTATTTAATTCGATTATTATATATATTATTATATTGTATAGTTATGTGTATGTAAGTATGTGTACTTCGCTTCAAACTGTCTTCATTCTGATTGAGAAAGATGTGAAAGATGATGAGAATATTCTAATCAGTTATTATAGGATCAGAATTGTCGGAAGATATGGAAGGTGTGGATGATCCATCCACAATGGCAATGGATCTTTCATCAGTTACTGCTGGAACTGCTTCAGCTTTAATGGACAAAATGTTGGATGAGAATGGAAAGAATCTGCTCTTACAATCATTAGCCACAATTGCCACACCTCAACAGGTAGCTTGCATAGTATAGCTATAGCATAGTTAACTATATATTTCAGATATTAACATTATGTGCCCAGTTAGCTGCTCGTCAACAGCAACAGCTTAATCATGATGATCTGACAGACGGAGAAGGAGAAACGGGTACTTTAACGATAGATGAAGGAATGGATGTAACACCTCCAACAACTCCAAGAAAAGATGTCATCATATGTGCATCAAGTGGTTGTGGTCAAGTAAGTTATGAAGTTTCTCATTACACGCCTCATACTCATTGCCTCCTATCTATCTGCCTAGATATCATTTTTGCAATCTCTCTATCATCTTTCTATAACACTCTGTATACTTCCCTCATAGTTTCGAACAAGTAAACAAAAATCAAACATGTGACCATCTTTCATAACGATTGGCACATGAAAAACGTTCTTAATGGCTTTTTGATGAATAGAAATTTCAAGGTAGAATAACTAGGCTAGAAAGAGAGGCCCTTATTTGGAGATTGTGTAATGGATACTGTATATGTATATGAAGAATGAAAGAATATGCAAATTATCATGAGCTTACGCAAAATTGATATTACCGTAATGCATAGGAGAATAGAGGGAGAGAGAGAGAGAGGACAGTGAGAGAGAGAGAGAGAATTGAATAAGGATGAAAGATGGATGTAACATGTAATTGTAAGACGAAATAGGAAAGACATGTGTTGGATAAACCTTCTAATCAGAGGTAGTTTGGCTTGTCATCTGAATGACATCTTCACAACGATTATCTGCACTGGAGTGTCCATCAAAATGGAAAAGTTTGATGTTTGCCTCTCTGTCTCTGTTATATTATAATCATTTCATTCATTCATCTGAAAGTTAGATGAGAAGTTTGAATGAGATGTGAAGACGTTCAAATATGGAACAATGCATCTGCTTCTCCACATCTCGCAACAGTCAATCGCTTAGAGACCCCAAAAAACATTTTTATAACGATCGTCATTTCCATCTTTTTCCATCTTTTTTTTTTGTTATTTTATTGAGGTAAAAAAAATGTTCGTGTATTCTATGTGATGCTTCGCAACACTTTAGAATGCGTTGACGAGAGAGGAAGTATGAGGAATGGATCGTTATGAGGTGGAGCAGAGATGATGAGAAAGAGAGAGACAAAGAGAGGGAGGAGACAGTAGCGATTGAGAGACTGTAACGTTCATAAACAAGTGTCGTCTTCGTAATTTCATAAAAGTTGAAAAGCGATCATAAAATTCATCTGAAGTTATAGACCCCTTCAATCGAATGTAGACACCATGTATGCAGAGGAGCATCAGACAGACTGTTCGCATGAAAACTGATATTTACGGTTGATTGGAAGGGAGGGAACGAGGGGAGAAAAGGGGAAATGTTGCTGATGATTGATGAATTTCGATGAAATCAAACTATTTCTAATTTTGTTTTTCTTTCACCGTATCTTCTGCTTCTCTATAGATTTGTGTATCAATGCTTCATTGATGTTCTGTGCTTTCAGTGCTTCAGCTCTCAAGGTGCTCATTTGTGGCATTTGATGGAAGAACATTCAACCGAAAAACTACTTCAATGTGATAACTGTGGTCAGAGGTTTAGTGATCGAGATCAGGTAAGCAGCTTCTTAGCAATCTTCTATTCTAATCATCTATTACAGATTGCTGAACATGATTGTGAACAGCCAATGCGTTCGCAGTCAGCTGGAGCAGAGCGAAGTGGAGCTGCAAGTCCAGATGGTGATCGAGGCTCTGTACCAGTTCAGGATGGTCCAAGCTTTTCCATTGTTGAAGCTGAAGACGAAAGAGCAATCAGCCCATCCATGTTGGATGAAAACACAAGCAGCTTACTTATGCCAAACTCTGCCAGTCTTCTTAACCAGCTTTTTCAACAACATCAACAAATGTCCGGAATGTCTGCAGCTGACTTACTAGCCAAGACAGCCAGCTCCTTCGATTCGGATTCACCTGCTGAAGCTCATATGGCTGCAGCAGCAGCAGCAGCGGCCGCCGCAGCAGCCGCAGCCGCTGGCGGTTTGGGAGATTCACATGCGCCGAATGGCGCTTCACAATCCTTACCTGGCTGCCATGCTACCCCAACTTCTAATCCCATGTTCCCTCTGACGCTAAACCCGTTTGGACATCCAGCGGGTCCACAATGTAAGATTAAAGTTTCTTTTAATGTTAACCAGCAAAGGATATTTCAGTTTTTATGCGGCCGTTTGATGGTTCACGTGCTGATCTCTTTCCTTCTTCCGGCGGTGGCTCATCTCGTCCCGAAATCAATACGGATGATGATTGGGAAGCTTTAATGGAGGTAAATCACTATTTATAGTAACTATTCTAAACATAGAAATGAATGTTTATGAATTGTAATATGATATTCCTAATCTCTCCTTCATTCTCATACTCTCTCATTGACCATCTTGATCTAATGATCAAGTTGATTAAGAAACTGTCTTTGCAACAAGTACTTCACTCATATCATCTCATTCCAGATCTCAACAACCGATGAAGCTGAAAAGATTCGCGCATTGGTCGGAGATAAAGCTATGCCAACTACAGATCCAAACCAATGTATTCTTTGTCGACGGGTTTTATCATGTAAAAGTGCTCTTCAAATGCATTACAGAACACACACAGGTGAGTATCCTCTACTAAGCTTCCAAGAGTTAACTCTTCTCTTACAGGTGAACGTCCATTTAAATGTAAAATTTGTCAACGTGCCTTCACCACAAAAGGCAATCTTAAAACGCACATGGGGGTTCATCGAGCTAAACATTCATTCCGCGGAGTTCCTCTTCCATTAAACGGCGTTCAAATACCTCAGATGCCCCCATTAGGACCTCACATTCCTTTGGCTAGTCTTCAAGCTCAACAACAATGTCCAATTTGTCAGAAGAGGTAACACAGCTTATCTTACAATCAATGCTCATATTGAAACTTCAGATGTATGACTCCAGCTCAGCTTCAATCTCATATGGCCGAACATCGTCAAGCTTTAACCGGAAGGAATACAGGCTCTGGCCTCTCCACCGCTGCATCTTTAACATCTAACGGCTCTTTCCCCGGCGGATTGCCATTGTTTTCATTTTTTTCTCCTCCGTTCGCTAATGCTGGTGATCAAGGAAGCCTCCCCGGTACAAGCATGGCTGGTGGTATGACTACACCTTTCAACCTTGCTCAACTGTTGGGAAAGCAACTAGCTTCGGCTGAAGAAATACGCGTGAAGCCAGCATCAGCTACCGAAAGTTCGTCAACGGCTGGAAGTCCTCCTCCAGCTTCTACTAGGTAGATAAACAAAGCTCAATAAATGTATATTATTAAATGCTTTTGTAGTGATTTTGATGAAAAAAAGGATGATGATATGGTCGGCAGTCCAGAACCAAAAGCTAATGGCGATGTGACGTCTTCAATATCACCTTCAGCTAGTAGTGATGCTTCTCATGACCAGTAGGAAACAAACAAATTGAAACATGAAGTTACTCTTTCCATTCAGAACTGATGGCTCATCTGTTAGTCGATGTGAATCTGAAGGGGACATGAAGACAAACAATTCCGATAACGTTTCTACCTCGTCTGCAACCGCTGTCAAAGCTTCCGATGCCTCAAAAGCTGAATCCTCCATGGATGATTTAGCTGCAACCCCATTATCTGCTCCCTTAGCTCCTTCCTCACCTCGCTCCACATCAGATAATCCTCTAGAAGCTATGCAAAAAATGTGGGCTGAAACTGAACCTCCTCCACCACGACAGGTAAAACTAGTCTTGCTGATAATCTCTTATATGTTATTTTCTTCAGATGCCAGTTCTTTCAAAACATCAATGTGGCGTCTGTTTCAAGCACTTCAGTTCAAGTTCAGCACTCCAGATTCATATGCGAACACACACGGGTGATAAACCGTTCAAATGTGAAATGTGTGGCCGAGCTTTTACTACGCGTGGAAACTTAAAAGTCCATATGGGCACCCATATGTGGCAGCAAAGTCCCAGTCGGAGAGGACGGCGTATTTTCGATGCATCTCCTCCAACTCCGAGCCCATCAGATGTTGTTGTATCTCCTATCAAGTCTTCTGCTAGCAGTGGAATTTCTTTACCGGCAGGCTTACAACCACCTCTCGGACTTTTCCCACCAGGTATCCTTATTTGTAATAGGTCGAAATTTCAACAAAAATTTTTTCCAGGAATGCCAAACATGGAAATGATGATGCTTCTGTGGAGGACGGTGTGCTCTGTTTGTCAAAAAGTAAGCATTCATATAAGCTAGTCATTACTATAATCCTATTTGAAGGTGTGTGCTAGTCCGACTGAGTTGGAGCAACACTTGCGAGACCATTTGGATACACCTAACTCGGCTACAACTCCATCATCAGCTGCAAGTCCTCAACCAACAACAGCTGAATGAGCTTCTACTTTCTCATCCAATACGCTTCATATACAGACGTGAAACGTTACCTTACATAATTTTTATTTTTTTTTCTCATTTTCATCTTCTTCTTCTTATTCTCTTTAAACCGATGACGTCATCTACTAGTCGTTATTACAGTATACGTTCAAGGATATCTCTAAAGAACAATAGCTTAATAAGTTTTATAGCATTCTCAGCTTCAACCCGGTTTTCTTCTTAACGTATTTGCTCGCCTCTGCTTCATATACACCTCCATCCCCACTCTTCCCCCTTATTATCATAAAGCCCCATTGATAACTATTTCTTTCAACTTCCCTCCCAACCCCAGCCCATCAAACACACGCATTGCAAACTTCCTCCAAGCTTAGCCTACGTTCAGCTTTTTCCTTTTGTCGTTCATGTAATTATTAAGTTGAATTACTCATATTGGTCTCGTCAATACTCAACTCTCTCTGGCTTTTATCCTTTAATTTTCAATGATATTCTTGGCTCTTCGTCATCTCACCCGGTTGTGTGAGTCTCAAATGCATTACTTTATCATCAAAAACATCATCAGAATTCTTAAATTATTATTCGCTTTCGTATTACCTTACGAGGTTACAAAGGAATCTCTCTCTCTCTCTCTCTCTATTCACCCTCTTTCTCTCTCTCTCTCTCTCTCATGATGTTCATTAGAGATAGCTTAAAAGAAGTCTTCTTCGACTAGGTGCCGAACACTTTAATCATTATTTTTGGTTAAAATATTAATTTTTAATATTAAATACTCTTTTAAGAGAAATAAATATTGATTTCATAGACCGTCTTTGAATTAGGAGGGAATAGACAGCTTACAACCTCTCACCCTTATCCCTTACTTCCCCCCAGTTAGTAACTGAGATTGAGCTTTTCTAAGTCATAGACAGTTCTCTCTCTCTCTCACTCCGTATTCCAACCTCCTTCCTTACCATTCTTATCCCATCTCTCTCTCTTTGTAATGCAAAACAGAGATTCCAAACCGTTCGCCAAGCCATTCAAAATTAAAAATGATGAAAAAGCTTGCACGTGCTTCACGTAAAGAATGACACGTGCCATGTTGACACGTGACGTTAACGTATAACGTTGCAACAATGACCAATATGAGTATGAAATTAGCATAAATTCTTCTTTGAAATCAACGATCACCACGTGCGAGTCAAACAATTGTCTTCCAAATCTCAAAAATTTTTAATTTTTTATCATTTAAACATTAGAAATATTTATGTTTTTATGATCATTTGTTTGTTTGTTTGTTTACTTTTTGTTTTTCTTTTTTTATTATTTTTGGCTTTTCCGTCCTTTAATTTATCAAAAAGGGTTTTACTCAGCATAATTATATTTCATATGCTTCATCAATTGATCTTCAATTCTTTTCTAAACGGGACATCCCCCCTCTCTCTCTCTCTCTTTATCCCCTTCCCCCTTCCCCTCCATACCTTACCCTTTCCTTCCATTTGTACAACCACATCACTACCCTTCACACACTCTTTATTACCTCATCAACCTTTCCTCCACCTTGTATATGTAGATTAGCTTAGACCTCTTCGCCTACACACTACTTGTGTATAACATGGCTGCACATAAGAGTTTCTATCCGCACTGTGCTTCATACACAATTCACCTTACCTTCCACACCCACCCTACCCCATCATTGCTTTATTTCCAACGACAACCGATTCATCCCATCATCCGAAATCGAAGTCGTCCGGTCCTCTTCTCGTCCCGTCCCTGTGAAAGCTTTCATTATAAATAATAAATTATGGAATAATATATGATTTTTTATATTAAAACTGCCATGTATTTTCCTTCCATTATCTCTCTCTCTCTCTCTCTTCCATACATCCTCCTCCTCTTCATCGTCATCGTCGTACACATTTTCATTTCATATGGATGTTCATTTGTGTGTTACTTTCTCTCTCTCTCCCTCTCTCTCTCTCTCTTTCTCTCTATTTTCATTATCAAACAGTTTGTATTCAGTTATAATATTAAAATATTAAAATATTATATGACAAAAAAGTTTTTTTTTCTTATATTCAGCCAACAACTGATTAGCATATTATTGAATATGGGAATACAAGTAATTAGCATATTAGATTAGAAGAGCTTCGTTCTCCCAACGCCTCTTCTTCTTCTTCTATCTGCTTCCTTCTTCGTCTTCCTCAACTCGGAGCTGCTTCCAACTATCATCTCTCTCTTTTTCTCTCATTCTCTCTATCTATCTCTATCTCTCTTATTCACTTCGTCTATCTCAGTCGGTGTTTCTCTTTTCCTTCTCCTTTAGCGAATTCTTTTATTCCCTGAAGAACGTTTAAAGCTGACAAATGAACAAAAACGATCAATGGCATGTTGTGCCGTCAACAATAAAAAACAAAAAAAGAAAACAAACCAAAAAAAAATGGAAAAATATTAATTCAAACGTCCGCCAATGCTCGTTAAAGCTTTAAGTTTTCCATCTTCCATCAAGTTGCTGATCGACGCAAGTAATCGATTGTGTGTGTGGGGGGGAGGATGTAAGAAAAGGAAAAGAAAAACACATACATATACATACATGCACCATATATGCATAGATACACATGCACTGAATGACTTGAAGCTTTATGAAAGCTAAAAGCCGACATTGTCATTGCCGGATGTCGTCAAACACACATCGCTTCCTTCAAAGAAGAAGTTGATTGTCTTCTGGTAAGACTTCTATGCGCTTGTTATCATCTCATTGTGTTGAAACATGAAAATGTCAAAGATGTAGAGAACGTCATCTGAAAATGATATTTCATAACGTTAGATGAAGTCAAGGAGAGAAGCGAATTGAGAGGATATATGGTTGATGTGTCGGAGTGATGCCTTCGTAAGACTCAAAGTAATTAGAAGCAGGAAGCGAGTCTTTATCTCGCAAACACAATAAACAGCAAATGCATATCGTTAATGGATAAAACAAGCAAAATTGCCTTTAATGAGCATTTTCATCCTCAACCACTCGCATGGCTCTTTACCTAATTAGGTAAATTAGATGTCATTTTTTATGTATCTAATGTATGGATATGCTGCTAGTTATCTGCTGATCTCATGAACAAGCAGTCGGCAAAGAGGAGAAAGAGGAGGAGCTAAGACGAAATACTACGGGAAACACATGTAGCATCTAACAAGTGCTTGATCTACGAGTTGAAGCTGGCAATTCAAACACATAAACACAGATACACGCACCCCCACACACACACACACACATCCAGTGGACATACATCCTTATACCTGTCTCATTCGACACTTTTATACTTTTTCATTGTTTTATTCTTTGTAAAGCTCATATTGCTATTGCAGAGAGGAACCTCCCTCATCCTCAGCTCATATTCCGTAGTGGAAGGACGTTTAGCCTTCTATAGGGCTCAAATTCCTTCCTAACGGCTCTTATGTCTTTCAGTTCTTAAAGGTCTGTAGCGTTGCTAAGTATTCCACGTGAATTCACGTGAAACGACACGTAGACTTCAGTCACTTAACTCTAATTATTCGCTACTTACTGGTTGAACATTTTGTTCTCTTCAACATATCCGCAGCTCACATAAGCCAATGACGTTTAGAACTTCAGAAGCTTTGATTGCTACAAGGATAAGTGATGACAAGAAGGTAAAGTTCATTTCCTATCATCTCTATACAATTCATATCATTCAAGGTTTCAATACAACTGACTGATCTACAATTCTTCTCCTATGGAGCTTTTAGTAATGTTTATCGTGGGCTTTTACATTTGCCTCCTTTAACTTCAAATGAAAGAGCTCAAGTACAAGATGTTGTCATTAAGAAGACGTGGTTCGGCTTGAATAGTAATTTTTCCTTTCAATTCTTTTTTCAATCTGACTCTTCCTTCTTCTTCTCCCTCTCTTCCTTTCAGAAAATGCAAATCCATCTCTCCATCTCTCTCTCTCTCTCTCTCAATCTCTCTATCTCAATGACATTTCATCACATTTCTCATGTTTGTTTCAGAAAAATCATCAAACGATGAAATTCAAATTCTGAAAACGTTGGGACGCTTGAATCACAAGAATATCGTCAAATTACTTTATACATTTCGTCACGAGTATCCAGATAGTGTAAGAAGCATCTTCATGTTGAAAGACATTTTTCTAATTTTTTTTTTCTCTTTTAGGTTTGTTTTTCACTTATTTTTGAATTTCTTGACGTCAACCTTTACCAATATTTGAAAAGTTGCAATCGTTGTTTAGCTTTAATCGAAACGAAAATGTTTACTTGGCAGCTATTCCGAGGTCTTTTTCATTTACAACGAGTAAGCAATGCTTATAATTATATGCTTTATGAGATTTTATGCTAATTAAGGCAAATATCTGTCATCGTGATATAAAACCACAAAATCTGCTTGTAAATCCAGAAAGTGGTCTTCTGAAGATTGGTGATTTTGGTAAGTGCTGCATGGTGGTGTTGTCAATTCATCTTGAAATTGTCATGGACGTGTTCATGTAGTAGATGCGAGGGAGGATGGGTTTGATGTGATGGATCTCAGTGAAAACAAAAAAAAAGAGAGCAAAAACATGTTGAGACGATAAAATATGAAAAAAAAAGTCCATATAAGTAAGATGATCATGTTTTATTACTTTATAGGTGCATCTACGACTGATCCAAATAAGGTTGCTCAGCCATCATATCATGTAACACGATACTATAGACCTCCTGAGCTTTTACTTGGCTCAACACGTTATGGCGTGGAAATTGGTGAGTGGGAGCAAAAGGATAATACACATCTCTCTAACTACTCTCTTCACATAATTAATAATTTAATAATTGGCTAATCCTTTCAAACCTTCAAGACGTCTTGTTTCGCCTATCTTATAAGTTTTCAATTCTAGACATTTGGTCAGCAGGATGTGTGTTCGGAGAAATGCTCAGAGGAAATGTTTTATTCATTGGCTCAAACAGCAATGACCAAATGGATGTACGTATGAAGTTTCTTTTTTGAACTTAGCACACAAGCTTTTCGGAGCCATCTTTTATCTTTCAAAGTTGCTCGGTTTGGGCGGCAGACTAAATACAAACAACTTAAATCTGTTCATCTTCCATACTTTGTAGACCATCATGTCTGTTATGGGTTTACCAACGACTTCTGATGTTAAAGAGATGAATCTTGTAAGCAACTCTAAATGGAAAGAAGCTAAATCTGTGAGTTCCGCTTCATATCGATTGATTTCATAACCTCCCTTACGTCTTCAGCGTTTCAATTCCGGAAAAATAAAAGCATGTCCTTGGAAGATTGCTGTTCCTGTGACGATTAAGAATTCCATTTCTGTTTCTTTTGAAGCTGTCGAAATTCTAAAAGAGGTTCTTTTGTCCTTTGCTTTTCGTTACTTATGCAAATCTTCACAGATTCTCACTTACAATCCGAACAAACGCTTGCATGGCTCTGAGCTTCTGCTGCATCCGTTCTTTTCAGAAATATTCCGACCTGAAGTTAGACGCCCCGGAGGGAAACGCATTCGATGCCTCACTCACAGGGTAACTTTGCAAGACAAATCAATCAAACTAAAACTAATCTGATTGAAGGATTTACAAGAAGTTCGAAATGGAGACAAGTCAATGACGGGTTCTACCAACTCTCCCTCTATAGAATCGTTTGAATGAGTTACTAATATTAATAACTAGTTTTACTAATTTCAATAAACTGATAGTTCTGTACTTCTTGACACTGATCGTTCTGTAGACTCCAGCACAGATGTGCAGATTACAAACAAGTGAGAGTATCGGTAGAACAAGGGAACCATGTGCTCGTATTAGTAAGCAGCCTTCACTGCTTCAATTTCATTTTTACTCTTCCTACTAACAAACTCGGTCGTTCCCTTTTGAAATGAATGACACAACAATAAATAATAATACTCTTTTCGATACTAACCGTCTTCAAGATTCTATAGAACATAGTGTCCTATTGGATGTTTCCGACAACTGGACTCTATGTTTGGGAATTGAACTAGCTTACTTCTTACTATTTATATTCATTTGCTGGTGGATTCACAAACAAGGCTACTTCAAGGCATCAAAACAACTCTCATATCCAGCTATAGCTTACCTCTTTAGGTTGATCAAGATCGAATCACAATTCATCATCGAATTCATAAAGATATGATTCAAAACCAAGAAAAAGCCTTCATTCAACAACAGGAAGTAACCGTCAATAGGTTGTTATCGTTGGATGAAATATGAGTTTCAGGAAATACTCTCCCCGATGAAATCTCTACTTACTCAACCCATTATGCAATAAGTCTTTATTATTTCTTATAATTATTCAATTGAGTACACAATAAAACGAATTAGTTCAATAGTTATGCTTTGGAAAAGAAAAGAAAAAACGAGTTACGAAAAGTTGTTAAAACGAGATCTGTATGGATGAGTATCTGAAAGTAAACGATTCATGATTTGTCTATGCTTGTTCATTATCCTCACCTCACTATATTAGGTATTGTACATGCTGATGTTGAAAAATTCCATTCAGCAACTGTTAAGGTATGTGATTGCTGGGACTGATTCTGTGAGTTACAAAGATCGGCTTCACGCTCCATCTAAGGAGTAGCCATTAGTCAAAGACGTCTGCCTGACATCATAAGAGTTCCAGGCAAACTTGATGTTTGGACTCAAATTACAAGCAAAGAGTGAGTCATTAGGAAAGCTTGTAGGTGAGACTATTCAATGCATAGATACGCCATAAAAACTGAAATCTAGATTAGGAGAGTAATCCAACAATTCGTCATTCAGCTTCCAATGTTACGATAGGTTTTCCTGATTTCCCATATTATTGCGAAACGAATTTGCGGAACTCGAGAAAAGGAATTCAGAATTCTGACAGGTCAAAATACATTGAGGATACGAATATGACTTACTATCTGGAACGCCATATCGAGTTCGCTATATGGAGAGAATGAATCATGATGCTGAACAACCTGCAAAATGAAAAAATCGTTAAAGCGTATTATTACAATAATTAAATTATTTTGAAATAGAACTAAACTTACTCCTCCGAAGCCATCATTGACGAAATGGAGAGAGCCGTTATGTATAAAATTGTCATACACTGAGTGCTGATACATTTGAGGTTCATACGCTGGTTGGTCATACATTGTGTTAGGATTTGTTAGGCTCTGCAATATTAAGTAGAAGATAGAGGGATAAGAATTATACTCTTACCCCTTCCATTAACATGCTTTCATGGTTCGCTGGGTTGCCATACACGAACACCTGAGAACTTTCAGGGTGAGGATAAGTTCTCATGGAGTTCGCAATATCTGAAGGATCACTTGCTACATCAACAAGTAAATCGTTGGACTGCCCCTAAAACCACAAAACATTCAGACTTCGCACTCATCAAAATAACCTGAGATGCGTAGAATGGTGTAGCTGGTTCTTGAAGAGCACTCACAGCGGCATCAGAGAAAGGTAAGAAGTCCATATTTTGACGAGGATTTCTGGCTCTCTGAAAAGACAAATTAAAATAACAGAAGAAAGCTTAGCCTTACAGCCTTGGATGCATTTTTCCTGATTGTTAGTTCAACATCTCTGGACCGTGAAACAAGAATAAGCTCATCAGGCAATTTAGAGAATATGTGTAAAATATTGCAAACGAAGGGTATGCTTGGCCAATGAACTCTCTTGCCTATCCGCGAACAAACAGTTTCGTATAAGTTGTAAAAAGCAGAGATGAGGAAATCGGGCAGCCGCACAAATGGTTCTATTCTGCTCAAGAAGTGCGAAATTTTGCGAATAGCTCTGAGGATCTTGACATCGTTTTCCCTAATTTCATAAGCTCTCGATGGCATCTTTTGAAGGCAGCTGAGACATTTCGAGATATTATTCAGGAACTGTTTAATGTGTCTTTCTTTCAAGCTTTTAATATACTTCACAGGTGGCGTTGGAGGTGTGAGAGGAGGTGGTGTTTTCGGCTGCGCTGGAAACTCTCTATCAATGAAGATAATCATATCCTGCAACAGTCTGTTGATGCATTTCCTGAAAAGGAAAAATCAAAGGAGCCATCAAATGAACTCAACTCCTCGACAACTTTGCAATGTAAGTCTCTCAAATAATTAATGCTTGGCGTCATTTTTCGGAAGCTAAACAAAGGAATAAGGTTAAGCTAGAATCGTTAGTAGAACCCATTATTAGTTTGCATTTTTGGGTTAGTCCGTCTCTTCCCTACGATCGGTCGTGTCCTAGCACAACTATTCCACTGTTCAAACTAAAAAGCAATATTTCTATAGATAGAACACCACTCGATAACGTTACTTTTTGCATCCTTGTACTTATTTCAGTCTTTGTGGCAAATTTAGCGTCGATGATTTGAACATCACCAACATAACTTGTCTTCTGTCTATTGTCTTCTAATGTTTCATTTCTCACACTGCAACTTGAATTCAGTAAAATCTTAAAAACTTTTTCTTACTCCTTCAGTTGGAGTTCCTCTGCCAGGCATTCTTCAAACTTCGGTCGCAGCAATTTATGTTTCAACGTTTTGGACAAATATGGTGAAATGACAAGAGGTGAATGCTCGTTAAAAGTTTCATTAGCGAATTTTCTGAGTATCAAGTTGTAGTATGAAAGGGAAATAAATGAAACTTACAATATTCTGTTCCTGGTTAATGCAGGTTCACGGCTTAGATCAACCAATACTACAGGCAAATGTTCTTTGTTAGGAGGGAGAAACTGAAAATGACAAATAATATCAAAGTAAATTCAATAGCAACAAACGGTAAGAGGCTTCCTGGGCCGTATTAGAGGGGGGCTTTCGTCAGCTTTCGCAAATAATTGAAACATGGAGGATTCCCCGAAGGAAGAGAGAGAGGAAGACAGTTCTCAACGAACTATCAGTCATTACTTTCTGTTGTCTAAATACTTGTCCTTATGAAGGGCAAACTACACGTGAGCTGTATGATCTGCCTATTGACAAACAAGGCCTACGGCTAATTTAGCACAATTTAATAGTCCTTCAACACTCAATTCAAAAAGTGTTTTTCATTTACAACTCTTTGGACGTATAGATCGGTTGTGCACAAGTGTAGTTGGAGGATGTGTGAAGCTGAATGAGTAACAACAAGAACAGAGATAAACAAATTAAAATTTATATTACTCGTTTTAAGTTTTGTACAACAACACATTTAATTAATATCTTTTTTACTAAGTTAACATGTGAAGGGAGTAAAGGTAAGGAGGAGGGGGAGAGGGGGGGGGAGTAAACAACGAATATTGAAAAGGGGGAAATCAATCGATAATTGAGTATTTGAGAGTAAGGCCAATGATGCATTATACCCTAATTAATAAGATTTCGGTTGTTAGTAAAAACAAAACCTTTGACAAAAGTGAAGGTTTAACATGATTATATGTACAATGTGATGAGACAATATCATTATCAGACACTTATATATATATGCAAATGGGACAAATCCTCAATAAGTTTATTAGATTTCTTCGATTTCGATGTTGTATCGAAGTTGCTTAGCTGAAAACCATGAATAGTAGTTGTCGAATTCTATCACATCTGTAACATTTCAATATGAATTTTCATTTCTGTACCATAGAGGCTACTTACAGTTTCCGGCTTTCTCAGCTACATAATGACCACTCACAGGCACATTAGTGCATTCCAGTCTGATGTATGGGAAGACTGTTTCCATTTCGGTTAAGTTATCGGCTTTACTAGATGGATCGTAATGAATTTCAAAGCCAATGTCATCTTCTTCCGTCATGTATTGCCAGCTATAAGTACATTCATAGATTCAGGACAATTTGACGTGTAACACTCACCAGATCTTGCTAGGCTCGGTGATCTTGATTGAAATCAAGTGCTTATCTCCAGCGTAGACAGTTGTAAGTTGGTCATAATCAGGCATGGCATACTTGGAATCGACGAAATAATCTTCTGGGATCGGCCCGATTCCATATCTGAAAAATATGTTATTCTAACGGATTGGTGTGGAATGTTCTACTTGATGATTGAAGGACATTTTGGATCTCCGTTCTCGATTCTGCTTCCGCCCCAATGCATTGGCCAAGCATCCAGATCGACATATTGAGCTAAAGCCCATTTCCAGTCAGCCTAAATACAAGAGTTATCAATGAGATGACGTAGATTTCACTTACCTCAGAAGGCATTTCGATAAGACGACTGATTGGATCGCTGAGAATAGCAGTAATGGAGGCGTAAGCAATACGAGCCATTTCTGGAGCTCTGAATCAATGAAAGTTATAGATGAAGAAAGAAATCGAACTCACCTAATGATCAAGATTTTTCTCAACACCATTGGATAGTGTTCTTGGAAGAGAGTGACGAGTGTGGTGAAAGTAGAAGCAAATTGCTTTGAAGAGAAGTGAGCAGAGCTGATATGGTCCAAATCGAAGACGAGCATCATCTGCTCGAATGGTCTGCCAGTCTAATAATGAAAAACCGTAAGAATGGTTTGTGAGTCTTCATGTTTACTTGTTTAGCTCTCATTTCACAGAGCTGAAGTCCTTTTTCGATGGCCATCAATGAGAACTTGATGTAATCAAGTGATGCAACCGACTTTACGAGTCCTAAAATTAAATTTATTTTTTGTATTTCAAACATCTCTTGCAACTATAAATATCTTTGATTTGTTATTATAGATATGAATTCTTTCGCAATCGTTTCTTAGCAAATGTGATTCAGATGAAGCCTTGACTGTTGATGCTCTCATCATGTGACGTCTCAAAGTCTTCAAGGTTCACGAAAGCTTTCAAAATCATTTGAGATTGACAATTGAAGAGATCTTTATCGATATTTCATTTTTCTCTCTCTCTCTCTATCTCTCTTTGAATGTTTTGAATAAAAGAACAAAGTTTAAATCAATTTCAATTACCTTCAACATCAGTATTTCCAAGTAAGGACATGAGAATAGGACATCCGTCTTTGTCGGGCAAAAATCCATAACCACAGTATTTTTCCAAGCACTACAATGAGACTACCTTTAGCTATTAAAAGACTTTATTGTTTCTCTCATACTCTCTTTCCCTTTCTTCCTCTCTCTCTATTCTTCTTTTTTCCATTTTTCACTTCTAAACACGGAATATTGGGGAGAAGGATTGTTTTCATTGAACTCGTTCACACCGTAAGCCATAAATCCAATTTCTTCTGATCAACCAAAAAAAAATGGACAATTTGCTTCTGTTTTTCCATCATTCTATGTGAGAGATGAAAGAAAACTATTCAGTCAGATATGTTTTGCTTTCATTTAGACCAAGGAAGAGAGGCAGATAGAGAGAAGAGAGAGAGAGAAAGAATGGGATTATATCGAAAACTCCAGAACGTTCTTCGACCGTCCATTACGATCGCTAAGTGTCGAAAACGTGAACCTGACGAAAATATCATCAGAGATCAAAGGAAATATTTGAATTACAGAAAGAGAATCATCTAATTAGCGCATTGCAGAAAACTCACGTACGTTCTGTCACGTGAACTTCACGTTCTACTCAAAATCACATTGCAACCATTTGCAGACGTACTGAACGGTTGATCTTCTGCTCTCTCTTTCCTTCTCTTACTCCTTCTCTCCAGTCATTCTTCTTCTGTCATTGTTGCTCAATCAACTTCATAATTCCTTTTTTTAGTTTGTTCCACTAACTAAGAGAGAGAGGGGGTGCGGTAGGGAGGGGGATATATGTTTTGTAATTTAATTTCGTTCTCTCTTGCCACATATTGACCTTGAGATATAAGGATGGAAGTAAACTATAAGGAAAGGCTGTTAGTCACTTCTCACGTGCCTTATATATATATATCTAAAACATGTTTTGGTTGACAAAAAGTGTCGATCGTGATGATTATCAAAAAAAAAAAATTTTTTTTTTATTCTTTCATTCGATTGGCAGAAATTTCGAAATGTTATGAAATTGCCCCAGTGACAGCTTAATAAGTTTTTAAGAAAAGAGAAAAAGGAGGAGAAGGACGACGTGAGAGAGAGGGGAGGGGGGTGTGATGATGATTGAAAGAACTGTATTCATAGTTTGATCATAACGGAATGAAGCCATTGGTGAGATGATGATGTATGATGGAAGCCCAACAATAACAAACACGGTCGGCCAATGTTTCAATCTAGATGACCATCATTATGGTTTAGATTAACGGATTATTGGCACTTGAACAAATCCGTTTGACATACAAAATGAAAAAAAGAAACAAGTTGAATCGTATTCAAGTTTTAGTCATTTCGTCTAGTTCTTTAACACTTGATAATGATGTTTATATCCATTTAAGGAGATCATTATAAATTCTTACTCATTACTACTCTTAGTGTTATGCACTTCGTTTACAAGTGTGAATCAGGTTGAGAATTAGAAAAGGAAGAAGGTGAATGAACATCATCAGATAACTATTTCATTCTGTACAGGTCAGGTTAATGACCACGACATGTAGCTTCTGCATGTACTCACATGCCCTTTGCCCCCAAACAGCTTTTGAACTTTGAATGGAAGTTATTTGAAGAGAAAAGGGAAAATGGCTCTACATTAAAGAACTTTGATTTATCTGTTCTACAGATCAGTCTTTAACTAGTTTGTTTCCTTACGAAAATAAAAAAAAAACTATTCCAGGACATGTTCGATAACACATACTCGTGCCTTCTCAATCATACCGTTCTTCTCTCTCTCTATATCTCTCTATCTCTCTCTATCTCTTCCTTACTTCTCTCTTTAGGAGAGAACTTTGAACTGTTTTCATATTCAACAACAGGAAATATCACGACTTATGAATTGGTGTTCTACTAAGAGAGATTGATAAATGATAGTTAAGCTTACCTCGGGAGCTTTCCAATTCTCAATTTCATCCAATTCCCAGGCTTTACGGAAGACGACGTGCTTTTTTAATCCTTCAGCTGTCTCATCAAAACGATGTTCACGGCTTCTTAACCATCTTACGACATAGTTATCGGATAAACAATCAATCTGTGGTAAGATTGTTCTGAAAAAGATTATCATTAGTCTCTTGTGGTATGGATGACTTGGTTGGTACTGATTGAAGAGAGAGAGAGAGGTATGTATGTCCGTTCTCTCTCGTTCTCTCTTTCTTTTCCCATTTCTCTCTCACTCAAAAAGGACGGTCAGGAACGTTTCGAGAATTCCAACTTTCTACAATCACTTTGATATTCACGAGTAAATGATCATTTTTCTGTATTTTTTCTGGCAACAGGAAGAATTCGAGAGAACTGCAATGGGTAATCAAGTTTTTTCTTTTTGGTGTAACAGTGTGTTCGGACCAGTAGGAATGCACTCAATTTCTTGATTCTCAACTGTTTTCAGATTATTTTGAAAGAAGAAAAAAAATATTTTTAATATAATATATTCGCTCCTCCGCATTACACCGATTCACTTGTAGTCGTCAATCACACGCATACACTCACACACACACACACGCATGCATACACACTCACACAGAATGGAAGAAAGGTGAACACGGAAGAAGAAGGGGAGAAGAAGAAGATCGGAAATAGACAATTGGTTTTGAAGCGAAATATCAACGGTTAAGAGCTCATTTAAGGAAAATGCACGTCATTCAGCTAGATCATATGAATGTCAGATGATATCAGAAAGAACGGATACGTTAAGAAAGCGGGGATGAAAGGGAACGATAGAATGACGTCATTTTATAGAAATATATTCGTCTAATGTTTTTGAGACATTTTCCAAAATATTCTATGAAAGGATAGATATAGGAAGCTTCTAGATGCGTAAATAGGCCACGGCTAGTTAAACCTATGAGGGTAAGACTAGATTCCTTTAAGATATTCTGTCTAACTAGAAGTTTCTATTTGAATCAGTTAAGATTATGGACAACAGGCGAGTCGAAATATGAATTGAGCTGCTTCTATCATCATCTTTCTTTCTATTAAGATGAAGAGAGTAAGAGAGAGGAATGGAAGACAGAGGTAGAGAGGTATAGAAGAGGAAAGGATAGTAGAACACGGTGGTAGATGATACGCATCACAAGTAAACCATACTCCCAGAAGGAATGTAAATACACATGAAAGAGCATTGCCATGGTCAAGTTTTGAGACATTTTTTACACCTTTTTCCGTCCATTGATCAGGTGAAAGTATTGGAAAATAACGAATTGAAGTCACACATGATCGAACCAAAATAGCCCAAGGTCAGGGCAACTCTGCGATAATTCTCATCCACACATACACACATACACAGACACACACACAGACACACGCATACATGGAATATACATGAATGGGCTATATGGGTTTCACACATCTCACAGATTAACCGATCACAATCCAAAATTTGAAAAATCACATTTCAGGTCAAAGATATTCTTCTTTTTTTCTATTCGATCCCTCAACTGATTAGGTATTGGAAGGCAACTGGATAGATGGTTAGATAACCGAAATCCTTTTTTTGTTTTAACCTTATATGGGATAAATAGGAAATGTAGAATGAGAACTGTTCCATGAGATCAGAACGTTCAGAATCATATCGATTACAGATACTTCTACTACATGGTATGTTTTCAACATCAACACATCTACTAGAGAGTATATGAGCACAATAAGAGCTATAAGAATCATGCTCATCCTTTACTAACACAAAATGGGACTTGATAACTTAAAAAAAAAGATCTCACCTTAAATCATGAATAGCTTGTTGCTCCTCAGAGGAGATAGGTCTGGTCGGCGTCAGGGTTGCGTGCATTACTGCCGTACTGACGCTCTCGTTGTCTGCCATCCGTCTAGCTGTCTCGATGCCTCCGACCATACCGTGTTGTTTCTGAAGATTGAAGAGAAGAAAAGAGAAACAGTGCCTGTAATAGTCCAGCCCCCTTCTCGCCAGATCCACCCACCCTTCTTTTACTCTCCTTGCCCGCTTTGGTTCACATAGCTGGGTGATGCTTTGGGTGGGGGGAGGTCTCCGCAGGGTCTAGGCTGATGGTAGACACAAAGATGGTTAACATCATCGACGGTTATCGCTCTATTCCTCGTGGTGTATCCTTGCGTCGTCCCTCTCTTGTCGTCCTCGTTCAGACAGTCTCTCTAAAATCGTTTTCTTCTAGCCTCCAGCTAGTCATTTGAACAACAGTCGATGACTTCTGTGTAGCCTTGATCCAACTCGTTCTCTCTCAATCTATGCCTCTTTTTCTTTTCCCAAAATATTAGAACTATAGATAATAAAAGAGAGGAAAGATATAGATGACGAAGCAAAGAGAGTCGAAAGAAGAAGGTGAAGATGGCTATATGCCCTCGTCGTCGTCGTCGTCGCCGTAATGTCTGGTAAATGTTTCATAATCTGTTAAGTGACGATGGTGAAACAGCTTGGAGATGACAAAAACCAGAGTAATAAACAACATGAAGACTCTTTAAGGGATGACTTTATTTTTAAAATTTCATAAAAGGAAGAATCAAAAGTAACAAGTTGAAGCAGATATAGCCAACCAACAAGTTATTCCTTCTTACAGCTTCTCTTCTACCATCCCCCCCCCCCCTTCTATTCATTCATCTTTCTAGTTCTATTAATCTTGCATGTTTCATCAATAACATCTTCATCCTATTTATCTGAATGTTTCAATGTTATCAAACAAGCTCGCTCATCATCTGAACAGAAATAAAAATAATAAAATACATTCGCATATAGCTTCATGTTGCAGCAGCATTTTGTAACCAAAATTGTCATTCAAAATGAATGTCATCTGTAGAGAGAGAGAGAGAGAGAGAGAGAGAGAGAGAGAGAGAGAGAGAGAGAGGAATAGATGGTCTGGGTGGAGGCTGTGCTATGATACTGAAGAGCAGGTTTAGCTATCATCAACTTACCCCATTAAATCTGACATATCTTCTCTGGCACTAATTGAATTTGCCAATAGAGAGAGAGAGAGAGAGAGAGAGAGAGAGAGAACCATTTTCTTAATCATATCATGTTTTGCCAATGAAATGCAATTTTCTCATATATTTCATATCAAAATGAAACCTTCAAAGATGTGTGTAATGATCTAATAAATGATTTAAGATCAAACTTTCTATTTGATCGTCTTCAATCACGTGAGACATGCTTTGCCAATGAAAAGATGAAAAAGCTTTTCCAGCATTCTAGCGCACCTCTTGGACCATCCTCAATTCTTGGGCTTAAAAGGGAAAAAGAAGAAAAAGGAAATGTCCGAATAGTTATTGGTCGCTCTGAGAGAGAGAGAGAGAGAGAGAGAGAGAGAGAGAGAGAGAGAGAGAGAGAGAAACTTGTAACTATCGTTCACTATTTCGGTGTTCTGTCGGTAGTTGATAACCATATGTCATTGCCAGACATGGAATTAATAAAAAAAGAAAAGAAAAGATGAAGATGATGAGTAATCTATCATAGGAAAATCGGTTTTACGGTTGAACTGTTTTCGTTACAAATTATATTTCCATCGTTCGTTTTTTTATTATTTGATTGAAGGAAATTCTTGATATGCTGTTGGAATTGATTTCCTACTCACATCTAAGATAGGAAGTAAGAAACAGTCTGAACTTTCAGGAAAATGTTTTAGAAAAGCTTAAGCTTATGTTCCTTTCGGATAGCTTCTTGAGATATAATAAATCGTTTCTTTATCGTCCGAAGGTCCAACTCGGCCGTATCTCAGGCTAATTTTTTAAGATTTAAGCCTCAACGTTCACATCGGAATACATGACGATATGTAAGTGAAATAGCTGTTAGACCTCCCAGGTTCAAACTGAGACCTCCCAGGGCTACGATGCACTTAAACCCCCCCCCCCTACTAGTTAATAAGACCTCCCCCGTAGTTAAGTCAATGAGTCGAGCTTTGTCTTCATTATTCTTCATCTCACCTTCCACCTTTTCATTTTTATCATTCAGAACAGAATGCCTAGTGGTGTTACCCTCGAGTACTACATCAAAACGACGCCAGACGTCAAATTTATAAATGATATATTCCATGGTGAGGTTTTTTCATGATTGTATTTAAGTAGTTTTGTTTTAGGCTTGAGAGAGCAGTCATTTTGCGAGATGTGCCGATCTCATAGAGATCGCTGCATCTTCTTCAAGAGGTTTTTGGGTTTTGTAATGGAAGATATTTGTAAGTTTTATTTATAGCTTTTTCCATTATTCCATTTTTTTCAGGTCCCACCTGTTTCTATAGAAACTGTGGCCAGCTTGAACATAAGAATCTCATCAATGACGCAGCATTAAATCACTGGTGGGATGCCAAAAATGATTTTTTGCATGGAGGAAAACTTCCGAAGCATAGCATGTATCAGCATAGGTTAGTGCTTGTTAAAATTATTCAAATATTATTTTTTTAATAGTTTCAGTCGTGACGATAAGCATGAAGACGTCAGCTTGCATGAATCAAAATCTGCCATATCTGTTGAAAGTAAACAGGCAATGCGGGCTGCAAGAAGCGTAGTATATTTATATATTCGTGTTATTGACTGATTTTTTAATTATAGAACATACCCAAGATGATGTCGTTGATCAAGGTTACTCGTTTTGAAAATCCAGGTGGAAGACAGCAATTCTTCCTCAGTCCGACGACGAACAGAAGAAAGCTTCAGCATTTGCATTTCAACTATAGTAGACAAGAGCATAGCATCGAGCAGCAGCTAAACGATATACTGAAGGAGAAGTTCTGTGGTGCCTGCGGATGGTACAATTCAGGAGATGTTGGTTTTTATTTATTATATTCAAAATGTATTATATTTAAATTTTCAGTTGAACAGACTTTATTGCAGATTTACAAGTGGGATTCTGGACATCTACCTATTCCAAAACTGTGAATCATTCTTGTTAGATTATTATTATATTTCTTCTAGGTCCTTTCTGTTGGCAAAAGAAATGTACGGATGACAAATGTCTCGAAATCGTCATGATCGAATTGGCAAAGCATTCGCTTAAATGGAAATCCACAGTTTCATCACGTCAGTGATCATTATAATGAACATTTTCTTAACTTCAATTCCTATCGCACTTCGCAGCATTGGGATTGGAAAACTGTTATCTCCAGCTGTCTGAAAATCAATGACAGGCTAACTCATCTCAGTTCCTGATTTTCAAACGAATTCTCTTACCATAAGGGTTATCATAACTTTCCACGCCGTGCTTTAGAGGCCTGAGCCTAAGCACAAGCCTTAAGAACTTGAGAAGCATGAGAAAAGTGAGAAATCATGTTGTTACATTCACCAAATCAAAAGATGAGAGTCAATGCAATGCAGAATGTTAAAATACCTTTTCGGTTTTTGATGTTTTTTTATTTTGGAAGTCATAACGTCCTTTGTTTCTAAAATCCCCAAAAATGAATTTAGTTTGTTCTTTATTGAACTATTATGTAAGAAGATCAATATGCTCTCTCCCAGGAACTATAATTATTAATGACTCACTATCGTTCTGTTGTGCATTTGATGTGTTAATAGCTTGGAACACTCACACGTTGGTCCACAATGACAATCAGTAATTTGTTTTTGAATTTAACAAGCGGATCCGTAAAAGATCCTTAACTCATTCAGATACTTTTTATTGGAGATTTATAAGATGGGAGTGATGGAATGAAATAAAGGAATTATGAAAATGAGGAATAAAGGAATATCAGAGAAAATAATTTGTCAAATATGTAATGGAGAAACATATAAATAGATTCACACCTAAAAATGAAGAATTAGAAGGATTCGATGCTTTAATTACAAAAGTTCCTGATCTACAAAATTTGATTGAAGAAAGTGCTGATTCCTTAGATATAACTATTAAAGATATACATAGATACATTAAAAATATATAATGTTTATAAATAAGGTTTGAAACAACATTTAATTGCTCTAGAGAATATTCATTTAGCAGAAGAAGTAGGCTTCACTGTCTTAGTTGCCACCCCTATTTTAATTTTAACGCGCGCGATTTTATTTTCATTTTTGTTTTTCATTGTATTGAGGGAACACAACATTACGATAAAGGGTTAATTATATAAACAGTGAGGTTAAGTTACATATGACAAACAGGTTATATTTTAAGATGAGTAAGACTATATTCTTCCTCTTAGCCTGTTCAATGCATCAATTATATTTTCAGCTTCATCCCGTATGGAAGGATAGGCCTCAATGATCTGGCGAAAGTATACGACGATATAAATTTTGTAAATCTCGGTAATTCTGGTTTTCAAAACGTCTGGACGCAAGGTAGAGTGGATATAATTCTTTTTAAATGTACAATAAAGTTGTAATAGTTGCCTTACAAATAAATGTAGATGTATGGCGTTTGGAACATACGTCCAAATGTTGATTATTTCGATATTACGATTACGATTAGCATGTTTCAGATTTGCATAAGATGTGTCTACATTCTGTAATTGGGCTCTAATCGCATAATAGACATATTCTACTTTTCCACCGACTGTTTTTTCATCACATTTGCACAAGACATAGGTTCCGCTTTGTTTTTCTGAATGAGGTACTCTGATGGTAAGACCCAAAGGTACACTTAATACTGTTTGTAAATCTTCAATAAGAAGTGGTAATGCAGGAAGTCCACGAACTGTAGGTCGTAATCTTCCAAGTTCTACTCGAAGTTCATTAATTGTAGGTCGTAATCCTCCAATTTCTTCTTCACGTTCATCAGCTATAGTTCGTAATCTTCCAAGTTCGTCTCGAAGTCCATGAACTGTAGGTCGTAATGTTTCAAGTTCTTCTTCACGTTCATCAGCTATAGTTCGTAATCTTCCAAGTTCGTCTCGAAGTTCATGAACTGTAGGTCGTAATGTTTCAAGTTCTTCTCGAAGTTCATTAATTGTAGGTCGTAAACTTTGAGCTTTTTCATAAATCTCATCTAAGAGCTTCCCCATTTGACCATTTCCATGCTGTAAATCTTGAGGTTCATGCTTTAACTC